GGGTGGGGACCGGGGGTCGCGCTTCTGCGGCTGTTTCTTCGGTCTCGGCTTCTTCTTCCTCTCCTCTTCCAACTCTTTCAAGCGTTTCTTCAGCGCTTCCTCTGCTTTCTTCTTCCTTTCGGCCGGAGATTCCTGTCGTTTGCGTTCCTCCTCTTCTTTCCTGCGCCTCTCCTCCTCTTCCTTCTTCCTCTTCTCTTCCTCTCTCTCCGGAGCCTTCTTCTCCCACTCCCTGCTCTTCTTCTCCTTCTTCCTCTCCCTATCCCTCCTACTCCTCCTCTCCTTCGCCTCCTTCTCCCTCTTCTCTCTCTCCTCTTTCTCTGCCGGAGTTTCAACTACTTTGGGCGCAGTTTTGGGCGCAGTTTTGGGCGATCCCTGTTGACCCTCCACTTGAAATAGTTCCGGTGTTTTCTTATAGCGTTTGATCCCTTCCGCCACAAACGCTGCTCAACAACAAAACACATAAGCATTAGATAATAAATATAAGCGTTATATCATTGATAGGCGCGCAAACAGTTTGTGTGTCTGTCCGCACGCCATACTCTAATAGACGGTCTCAGCTGTCAGAGCCCCACCCCTAACCCCCCGATGCTTACGTAGAATCTTATTGGACGGCACAGCGAAATACAGGACAATATTGTCGATGAGCTGTAGGTAGAAATACATGCCGACCACCTTTCCCTTCATGTCTAGGAGAGCGCCGCCGTAGTCATCGAAGGCGAAAGAGGCCGTGTGTTGGATATACTCGACTGGAGTACTGATGAAGCCGTACTTTTTGCCAATTTTGGTGATCTGCGCGCCGGTCCTCTTCGGGCAGCTCACGATTCCGTTGGTCACAGTGTTGTAGTTCCAGGAGGAGCCCAAAGCGACCACTTTGTCAGCATACCAGGGATAATCACCGGTGACGTCAGCGAACCCCAGTTGTTTTGAGGTTTTGGACAGTGGTGTCAATAGAGCCAAATCCAGTTCCGGCTCTTTGTATACCACTACACAGATGCCCTCCACGGGTCCCGTCGTTGTAGTGGCGCTTCCTTTTAGCTTCACTTCAACTTGAGAGGCGTTGCCGACGGCCCGAGCGCTCGTCAGTATGAAGTGCTCGTCAACTATAAAGCCAGAGCTCGTGTTGTGAACGCGTTTCTTCTCTTTGTGCTCAGTGTGTGTCAACATCTGTCTGACGGACACAATCGCCTCAAACGACTCCTCGCAGATCTTCTCCACAGTCAGGTCGGGCCCTGTGTTTGGCGACGCCGACCGCGACGGCTGCGTTGAGCCACCGGTCGCTCCCTTCGGTGGTGAGCCCGTCGGCGGTGAGGGCTTTGGCTTTGGCGGGCTTGACGTCGCCGACTCCGGACCCGCGCCACCGAACCCACTGTCTCTCCGGTCGGCGCCACTGCCCGACGACGACGACGACGACCACAGGTAAACACTTCGCAGACCAAACGGTGCCATCGACTGAGCGAATGGCAGCGACTCTGACGGCCAGTGACTTCTGCGCCGGTGTTGTAGCCAATGGGTTGAGCCGATGAGCGATACGGTGACCATCAGTGGTGTCCTACGGGTTATGGGTTGCCGTCAAAAGACATATACGTTTAGATTAGACAGCATTTCAATTGTGATTAGTTTTGATTGTAATTATAATAAGAGACATCCGGAGGAATGAATCTATGGTTAGACTTATGGTAACAGACCTGACGCCGCATTTCGTGAGCACAGCTCTGAAGCTATACATGAGTTTCGGTGGCTTTTAATTGCACTCAAAAACTGGTATTAATTGTGAATTAAATGTAAATTAATGTTTAATTCAAACACTTTTTTCGAAACGAAAACTGATTTTTGAATTCAATTCTCGATTCAAATGAGAGAATAGTTTTCGAAAATTGATGCGATTTTTTGAAACAGTTTTCTATGCATTCAATGCAACACTTGATTCCACTCTTTTCTATTGTATGTCTCGAGCGATGAATGCATTGCTTTTGCTGTATATGTCTGTAAAGTCTATGCTTTCTCTGCTTAAAAATGTGTGTAATTTTTGATTCATTTATTTGGTTTTAAATAATTTTATAAGTTTTAATTTATAACGTTGTTTGCATTATTAATAATAATTATAATTACTACTTTTACATTGTATTAATTACACAATAATCATATGATTATTTTTCAGTCATAATGATGGCATCAAATAGCTCATTAAGAATTTTACAATTAGAGTAAAATTAATAAACTATAACTAAAAGTTATTTAAATTTAATTAATAATTGATTAGCAATACTGTATTATCAATAGTAGAGTATTATTGTATTTTTATAAAGACTCCTAAACCTAATGACAATTTAGAGATTGAGACAAATGCAAAGTCAAAATACTTGACCAATAATAAAGTTAGTAATATTGCACACCCCGTGGTTTGTCCCTTAATTATATAAGATTTACATTATTTAAATTTTTAATTTCACTAATTTGTTAGCATTTGTGAGACATTTGAATAATAATTCATTTATAAATTACATTCCAAGAGAAGCGCTCATGTGCTCAATGGGTAACTTATTTCTCAATTATACAAACGCTATCAAAATAAACAATACATTTCAATATGTTTTACATAAAAAATACATTACTGGATTTATATGAACAGAATATTTTCAGGCATAGTCAAACGAATCAATTAATATAATTACACCTACTTTGCATTTAATTACTTTACTCGTATATCTAATCGGTTACGATGAATGAATAATTGTAATATTGATAGTAACGTACGAGTGATTAAAATGCATTTCTTATAATAATCTACTATTGGTAAAATGCAAATCATTGACAGAGATTGTACTGATTCAATCAGTATTGAATATTACCTGAACTTGGTTTACCTTACTATTTTATTTTGCAAATTAATCTCTTTGTATTAAAGTATAATTTAACTTTTTTAAAATATAATTTTCCATCAATTCTTGTCATCAGAATTTTCTCAC